GTGGTATATACACTTTTTCGTATGAGGCAAATGGGTTAAACTTGAAATTTAACTGCAAGTTGAGGACTAGGTAGTTCAGTTTGAGACTGAAACAGGCTTTCCAGAAGTATGTAAAAGTTCTGATATACTTAACATTTAACCCTGCTTTTTGTATTTCTTTGACCATAAGCTTTCTGTTACTTAAAAAAATAACATTAGACTCTTAAACTTGAAATTTAACACCTAACAAACCAATGCCATCATATAAGTTCAAGAGATTATGAGGCAATGAAAATGTCTAGAAGGGAGAAGTTAAAGAATGAATTTGCAGATATAGGATACGGCCAAGGTTCCTAAGGGATGTGTCGAAGAGGGACTTGAGCACCGTTATTTTAGGCGAGAGGATTTCGATGCCTTTGGGGGTTGCACCGTCAGCTATGCAGCGCATGGCGCATCCCGATGGCGAATGCGCGAACGTGAAGGGTGAGTTGGGACTCGAATTGCCTGAAATTCGTTTTCATCCTGTGGGAAGCTTAATTCAAGGGAATATTAATTAATATTTTCTAGTGAATCACTTGATCGAAAAAGGAATTAACCCTTTGCACTCGCGATACAAAGTTTAATAGTTAAGAAATAAAATGACTGCTCCTTAATTTACCTGTGATTATTCTTGAATTTGATTCTTAAATACCGTCTAAATTTCATTGACTAACGTTGAACGTTTCCATTTCTCGAGTGCAAAGGGTTAAGCATCTTCGACCCAACTGCTGTTCAGGTCGTCCGTTGATTACATTCATCACAGCCCCTGTAGATTTAATAAAAACTATTTATTAAATCATACAAACGTGTCTTACAAAAATAGTTTAACAAAAACATACCGTGATCACAGTTGCATTCAAATTTGTTTTCCGTCCATCGCGAATGTTGCTCTGCACGCAGGAGCACAGGAATTGAACACACAGTACAGAGGAAAATTGAAAACAACGCGCTATCATTTAATCTTTATCATTCTCCTTTTTTTATAAAATACTTCTGTTTTTTCCATAAAATATTCCATCTTCATTTCACTCGTTCCGTTTCCCTTTCTTTCTTCTCTCTCTCTCTCTCTCTCACTCACTCTCTGTGACTAATTGTTGCGTAATTATAAATATAAATGGCATCGCGTGATCGGAGTCCGTGAAATTGTTATCGTGCGATCGATGTCTTGGCTCTGTGCGTTCAGAAATGATATGTTTCGCAGATATCTTCAATGAATTATCGTTCGCCGGTCGTGTTTCAATCGTGTATGGAACTTCTGGTTTATTTCGAGCAACTTGTACAGGCGAGTTTCGCTTAACAATACGGAGGAAACGATCGATTAACGTTCGGTGCTTGTTTACCATAGAACTGCCTCGAGATTTTGGCATTAAAGAAATTTAGACGATCGGTTTCTTCCCACCTATCCTCACGTGTGCTTCCATAATAAAGTCTGTTGTATGTAAAAAATTGAGCGTCGAAGCGAACGTTACCTTTACAAAGTAATCACTATAATTAATGTATATGTCTCAAATGCAGTTATACGTGTAAGGCACAACAGAGGGTTCACAAGATATTTACAATAGTGTGAATTGCTTTAAAAGAACAATCTCATACGACGGTATCACTTACAAGGAATACCTGATCCATACGCGTAACATAATTTGATCCTTCGAGACCATCGTCTCTTGGATAGAATCATGTGTGTATCAGAAGAAACTGTTATACGAAATTCTGATTCTCTATGACTAGTTAATGTAAAGGAAGTGTGTTCATATATACACATACGGAATGAGAATGATACTTAAACGAAGGTTACACAACCTATGGCAATAGAAGGGAAAGAGATCAATGTCGTTTGGGTCCCACGTTGTCCCAATTATTGATGGCTTTCATGTTCACTTTCTCGATCCTCCATTTCTGCGTGGCAGAGGCCGAATCGCAGTTCGTTATGAAGACCCGTTTACTTGCCGGGTCTGTGTCTAAACACCTAGACGAGTAACCGTGCATCAACCATTGCTTCTCAACGTTGTAACGCCACAGTTGGTTCCCCTGGCCTCCGTGGCAGGGATAAAGAGTCACAGGAGCTTTCGTGTCCCCTCTGGAAACGTCGAAGCATTCGGTGCGGTCCTTTGGCCTGATGTCTTTGTGCCAAGTCAACCGGAATTCTTGTTCTCCCTCGATTTTGGGATTGTCCTTCATGCAGATGTCGACCACGACAAGTCCGTCTCTTTTCTGCTTCTTCGTATCCAGACACAATTCAGGCACGCCCATGTTGCGAATCTCTCCTGATGCAAAGTCATCGGGCTCTATGGGAGGGTACACGTCGACTAAGTCGAAAGCTATGTTCTCCATGAACCACTTGAACGGTTTACAGTGTAACTTCTGCCTCAGACTTCGTTGTTCGGTTAGATTACCGGGATTCAATGACCTTAAATGAGGACGTCTTTTATAAATATACTCTGCGTATTCATCCATCCAGACTTCTGCCACTCGCTTGTAGTTTTTCCCCAAGAAGTCTCCTTTGCCTGGATTAGGGAAAGGAGGGAATTTCCGATAAATGTGGCCTACCCTCGAGCAGGGAGCGTCATACATCTGACCTCCGCATTGCCAGATTTTAAATGATAATTCGTACTGCTCACCACCCCATATTTCTAATTCGGGATCGTATCCACCCAATTCCCAAAAGAATTTAGCACTGATAGCAAAGAGCCCGCCTGCCATGACAGGACTCTTAAATGGTTCTGTGGGGTTTTTGAGGTCTTCTGGCAACAGTGGCAATCGCTTATAGTACAGTTCCCAATCGAAAGCACCTCTGGCACCTTCGTCTTGCGCTCTGTATTCAAATGTCTCGTAAGCTATCACATCAATAAACGGACAGACACAAACCTTATAGTTTTGTGCGATCGGCTCTAGCAGAGGTGGCAACCAATTGACATTGGCTTCGCTGTGGGAATCTAAGAACACTAGTACTTTAGCTTTCGCTATCTTTGCACCAGCCAGTCGACCTTTAATCAATCCAGAACGTGTGGGCAGCCTCACGATCTTCACTTTAGGCAAGTGCTCTGCAACATAATCGTCCAATGGCTTCTTCAGTTTAACCTTGGTGCTGGCATCGTCGACCAGTATGATTTCTTTGAGAAGGGACTCTGGCGAACGATTGACGACGCTCCAGCAAGTTCTCATCAGTGTGCTGAAGTGTTCGTTATGGAAAGAGACTATCACAGAAACCGAATCGAGGTTCTTCAAGTATTTCTTCTTTTTACAATCCTGGTGCCTAATGTCGGGTACAGAACGATTCATGGAGATCTCATCGCTGAGTGCAGCGTTGAAACCATTTACCTGATACAGTTTCTCCTTTAACATGTCAAGGGAGGGCGACAGGAACGCTGGCTTCCCATGCTCGCCCATCCCGTTTCTCTTCGCGTCCTCTGCCATGCTTTTGTAATCGTGCCAATCGATCTTCCCATCTTCATCCTGCGAAAAAACATCGCATTGAAATTTCTGTTCCGAAATAATGCTCGCGCGACGAAAGTCGACGCGGCTTCGCGAAAGGGATCCGCGAAAGTGAAAGTACGCCACTGAGCGTGGCGGAATGCAGAAGGTTAAGCTATCGCTAAACCTGTTCCCGCCTGCACCGAACAACCTTGCCATTATAACGAACGGATACCTGATTGAGATGCCCGTTGAAAGACTGTCTTGAATCGGGGAAACCCTTCGGACTGTCACCGTCGGCGACGAGGAGCGCGGCTACCGGCGTCGTGGCCTCATGGTTAGGCGACGTCCTCACGAACCGAAATATCACGACGGTCAGGAAAACGGTAAAAGCGGCCAGAGAAAAGAACTTTATCAGGCTTATCACATTCCTCCTCATTATCGTGAAACGGTCATGTCGCGTGCACGACGACACTCGCGAAAACTTGCCGCTGGCCACCGGCTCGACGAACTACCTACTCGAAACTAACCTCATGTGTAGAAAATTCGGTTTATCAGCTGTTATCTACGATGTAGGAACCGTTGTCGGTAGATTGTCCCGATAAAATGCATGGGGCAGACACGGTTGCCACGCGTCAACTGAGGATCGATCCTCGGAGATCGAACCACCTTTCAACCACCGAGTCACATTCCCAATACACCTGAAATGCATTTTTCGACGCGACCGATTTACACACGGTTTCACACCGTTTACGCGACGCAATCGACCTCTTTGTTTACGTCGCTCTCTATTTGTTCCTCTCTTCTTTTCACCGATTCGTATCAGACTAATAAAACAAATTTTCTCGCCCGATCATATTTCCATGTTTACAATGTTATCCAGGCTCTTGTATGAATTACAGCTACTTTCTCGGTATTCGTTAATTTCAAATGTTAAAATATGATCTGCGAAAATACGGCGTGATATCGCAGAAAATTGATATATTGTTATCCACTTGCTCAGCAAATATGACGCTTGATAGTGTTCTTATCTCAGACACGCTTCTTATTTATAAATACGAATCGTGCGATTCGCTCGACTGAAAATCTGCGTTGCATCTTTTCAATCGAATATCGATTACATCCTTAATGTCAACGAACGAGCAATTTCGATAATTGATTTTTTCTTAACAAATAAATAAAACTCCAACGAAACTGTCTCGGAAAGATAAAGCGCGGGAAGCTGTCAAGGTCAACCGGGCATTTCCATTACTGTTCAAATTTTCAATGAATATAACCTAAATCAATAACACATATATTATTGCGTACACGGTATACGATATGCAAGTAAAATTAATCACATTGTTCTAGAATTTTGAAAATGTCTGAGCAGTAGATGGGGTCGATGATTAAGTTAGCATTAGAACGTTTATCAGTCCAAATGGAATCCCAATAACGTTTGACAGTTGGACAAACTATCGGTATTCACGTAACAATGGAATTCTTGGAAATGATCAATTTACAGCTGCGGAAGCAGCTGGCACGATCTACGTACTGTCAACGTTGTCAACAAGTAGCATCGAGGAAGTGGCGGAAGCGGCGCCGAAAGGGATAAAATGGTTCCAGCTGTACATATACAAGGACCGTGACGTTACCATGAATTTGGTGAGACGAGCTGAACGTGCTGGATTCAAAGCACTCGTCCTCACCGTTGACGCGCCACTGTTTGGGGACAGGCGGGCTGACGTTAAGAATAAATTCACACTGCCAGGCCACTTGAGGTAAACACAACACCCGCACCAATGTTCAACGCAATATATTTTTAAGTAGAATTTAACTAGTGATCTAGTCGATCGTAATAAACGCGCCAAATGAGACACGTGGCGCCACCTGGACACGGTATCGACTGGCTAGTAGCTTGCGAATATTATTTTAAGATGGCGCCACATATTTTTCTTTATTTAATATATTGTTTATTTGCAATTTTTATTAAACTGTAATGATGGAATATTTGATCAGCTTAAAAAGAATACCACGGATATTAACGAAAGAATTTAAAATGTTTATTTAAATGATTTCTGATAGCAAATAGGAATTTACTTTATCTACTAGTAGAAACTGACATTACCGAGCGATTGTAGACAATGTGTCGGTAATGTTGGTTTCTACTTGTATATAAGGTTAATTTCTCTTTGTTATTAAACATAGTTTTACTAAACATTTTAAATTCTTTTGTTAATATTCGAGATATTCTTCTTGTAAATAGTTACTTAGAAATTGGTCGATCAAATATTCCAACGTTATAATTTAGTGAACATTGTAAATAAATAATACATTGAATAAAGAAACACGATTCTGTTATCGCAGATTTACTGTACAACCAGAGCTTAACCCTTTAAGGACGAACGTAGGCATATTGGAAATTAGAAAATTTAACTCTTTGACTCTCAATCACCACTTAATTTAATTTGCAAAATTATAAAGTCTTACATATAATATCAAGCTTTGTACGATGCATCAATATATGGAATATTGAAATAAAATAGCTTTCCTTCTTAATTTATATATGTTTCCTCGTTAATTAGTTTCAAAGATCGTCTGTATCTCATCAAATATTGAATACTTCTGGTAAAAAACTTTCGAGTGCAAAGGGTTAAATAATAGTATAAAAAACTGCGAACGAATAATTTAGTTATTTAAATAACGAAAGCTTAGACAGATTTCGCATTTTCCACTACTCGATAGTCTAACGAATAACATGGCGTTTCGTTTACCGAAAATCAAGGGTTGATAATGAATTTCAATCAGATTAGGTAACTTCGAGGGAGAGCTGTCGAACAAAGTAAACTCAGCGGACAAGGAATCAGGTTTGAACGAGTACGTGAAGAGCTTGTTCGACGCCTCGTTGTCGTGGGACGATGTGAAATGGTTGAAAAGGTCAGACGATAAGCATAGTAATTAACTAAAACGATTGGCGTCGTGAGCATTGAACCAAATACTTCATTAATCATGTTCCACAGTATCACGAGCTTGCCAATTGTTTTGAAAGGTATCCTAACCCCTCAGGATGCGCTGTTGGCCGTCGAAAGCGGCGTGAAAGCCATCGTTGTTTCGAACCATGGCGCTCGTCAGATTGACGGTATACCTGCGCCGGTTAGTCATCCTTTGATTACATTTACAAATTTTAAATTATTCCTCTATCTTTACCAATAGAATCTTATGATTTTTAGATCGAAGCTTTACCGGAAATCGTCAAGGTTGTCAACGGAAAGCTGGAAGTTTACATGGACGGAGGCGTGAGGCAAGGCATCGACGTCTTCAAGGCGCTAGCCTTGGGCGCCAAAATGGTAACCCTCCGACTTCCTACAGCCTCGAATGACTTTCTATCTGATTAGGCATCGAGAACGATGTTTTTCAATGAAATCTAATACTCCAATTGATTTCTAGGTGTTCGTCGGCAGGCCAATGTTATGGGGTCTCTTTCACGCGGGCGAGAAAGGGGCGCGCGACGTTCTCGAGCTTTTCAGGAAGGAGATCGACTTGGTGTTCGCGTTGTCGGGTAAATGATTGTTTCACAGTATTTCGTACAGGTTCATGAACATCGATTTACAGGTTGCAGAACGGTGAACGACGTGACTCGGGACATGGTGAAGCACGAGTCCTACTTCAGTCATCTGTAATCTCGATGTGTACCTTACTCTTCTATGTTGCCAATAAAGTAGTTTAAAAGGACGAATGGTTCTCAAGGAAATCATTGTATAGCCTCGTAACCAAGCTCGAGATACACCGGATGTTACCGGTAGAACAGATGATCGCAGCTGGATTTGCAACGGATGGCGAACAAGGATCAGAGTGTACTTCACAATATTGGCGTTTTTATTGAATATCTTTTGTATATTCTTCTTTGTATACATATATGCGTGTGCGCGGGGCACACATATCACAATTTGCAGGCGTACTGACGCGCACACGCATCGAAAGTGATCCGCGTTATTCGCAAAACGGAACAGATTGACTATGACACGCAATCGGAACATGCAGCAGAGTAATCGGCCCTCTGTGTACACTTAATACGCGAAAAATACACCGTTGGCTCTCTCTGATCCACTTCTCTCTTGGCAAAAAATAAATCCATCTCTCTCTCTCTCTCTCTCTCTCTCTCTCTCT